GACAGACTTGCTGTTAGGAGACCACAAATAGACCAAACTACACAACTATCACTTAGATGTAGAGGGTCTAGGTTGGTCCCTTGCAGGCTCCATAGTTGTTGTTTCTGTGGGTTCCCTTGTGATGTCTTTGACCTTTCTGGCTCCTACAATCCTTCTCCCCTTTCTTCGGCAGGATTCCCCAAGCTCAGCCTAATGTTTGGCTCTGGGTTTCTGCATCTGTTTCCACCAATCACTGGATGAAGGCTCTTAATGACAAATGGGGTAGTCACTAATCTGACCACAGGAGATGGTCATCAGTTCAGGCTACCTATCCACTACTGCTAGGAGTCTTAGCTGGGGTCACCTTGTAGATTCGTGGGAATTTCCCTTACATCGGGTTTCTTTCTGACCCTGAAATGCCTGTCCCCTCCAGTCATCTCTTTCCATACTCTCCCCCTTTATCCATCCCCACCCACTATTTCCCCTTCCCAGGGAGATCCAAGCATCCCCGTTTGGGCCTTTTACTTTACAGCTAATATCCACTTATGAGTACATATCATGTTTGTCTTTCTGGGTCTGTGTTACCTCACTCAGGATGATTTTTTTCTAGTTCCACCCATTTGCCTTCAAATTTCCTGTCATAGCCTTTGGCAACTGAGTAATACTCCATTGTATAAATGTACCAAATCTTCTGTTGAGGGGCATCTAGGTTGTTTGCAGTTTCTGGCCATTACCAACAAAGTTGCTATGAACATAGTTGAGCAAGCGTTCTTGTGGTGTGGTTGAGCATCCTTTGCATATATGCCTAAGAGTGGTATGGTATAGATGGGTCTTGAGGTAGATTGATTTCTGATTTTTTGAGAAACTGCTATATTAGTCAGTGTTCTCTAGAGTCACAAAGCTCTCTCTCTCTCTCTCTCTCTCTCTCTGTGTGTGTGTGTGTGTGTGTGTGTGTGTGTTTCTCCCCCAGTAAGCAAGCTCCAATGCCAGGGAAGGAAAGGATGTGCTGACGAGGCAAGGGCAGACATGTGGAAAGAACCAACCCTCCCTTCTTCCATTGTCCTGATACAGGCTTCCAGCAGAAGGTGTGGCCCAGATTAAAGGGGCACCTTCCAGCCTCAAGGTCTGGACCAAAGGCATAATGTCTTCCAGCCTCAAGATCCAGATCACATGTGTGCCCTTTGTTTCTGAATTATAGTTCATTCCAGATACAGTCAAGTTGATATCCAGCACTAACCATCACGACTGCCATATTGATTTCCACAGCGGCTGTACAAGTTTCATTCCCACCAGCAGTGGGGGAGTGTTCCCCTTTCTCCAAATCCTCTCCAGCATAAGCTGTCATTGATGTTTCTGATCTTGTCCATTCTGACAGATATAAGATGGTATCTCAAGAGTCGTTTTGATTTGCATTTTCCTGATGGCTAAGGATGTTGAACACTTCTTTAAGCATTTCTCTGCCATTTGATATTCTTCTGTTGAGAATTCTGTCTAGGTCTGTACCTTATTTTTTAATTAGATTACTTTTGATGTATAGTTTCTTGAGTTCTTTATGTATTTTGGAGACCAGCCCTCTGTCAGATGTGGGGTTGATGAAGATTTTTTTCCCATTCTGAGGGCTGGCCTATTGATAGTGTTCTTTGCCTTAAAGAAACTTTTAAGTTTCAGGAGGTCCCATTTATTAATTGTTGCTCTCAGTGTCTGTGCTCCTGGTGTTCTACTCAGGAAGTGGTCTCCTGTGCCAGTGCATTCAAGGCCATCTCCCACTTTCTCTTCTATCAGGTTCAGTGTAACTGGATTTATGTTGAGCTTTTGATCTGCTTGGATTTGAATTTTGTGCAGGATGATAGATGTGGACCTATTTACATTCTTGTATAAGCTGACAGTTACACCTAAGCTGGCAATCTTAGTCAACTGATTATATTTGTTAAAATGGAGTCATCCCCAAACACCTGAGGACCAGGGAGGGAGAGATAATAAACTCTGGGAAGGGGGCCGGGAATCCAGGTAGGAAGGATTTTAGAGCTCTCTCTCTCTCTCTCTCTCTCTCTCTCTCTCTCTCTCTCTCTCTCTCTCTCTCTCTCACACACACACACACACACACACACACACACACACACACGGTGTGGGGGAGGGAGAGGGAGAGACAGAGAGACATTAGCCTGTGAGAACAGAAATTACCATATACCGTTGGCCCTGATGTGCCCAGGCCTTGGTGGAACCAGGGTGGAGCAGCTGGGAAGACGAGCAAGCGAGTCACGGTGCTTCAGTCACGGTGCTTCATCAAAGAGCCTGAATGAATTGTTTCCCAGGGGAAAGATAGCATAGTGTTTAAGAGTCTTTGTTCTTCTTCTAGAAACTCAGTTTTGATTTCCAGCACCTACATCAGATGGCTTACAGCCGCTTAGAGCTTCAGCTCCAAGGGATCAGACACCTTTTACTGGCCTTCTCAGGAGCCTACACACATGTTATACATGTACTAAGACACACAGATAAATAAAAAGTCTTTAAGAAATCAAAATACTCTGCAATGGAGGCGGTTCCACAGCTGCTGGAGTTTCCCGAGTTTATTAGACATTTCTGCTCCATGTTCTTGCTAATATTAATGCAGCTCTATCAGCTTCCCCTTGCCTCAGGTTGGGGGGTGTATGTTCTTCTAAAGTCCTTCCGGCATTCCTGTCTTTTAAAGGTGCTTCTTGTGAACATCATGAAGTTGTTTCACATCCACTCAGGAAGTATTTCAGCTTCAATTTGGAGCTTCAATTCACTATAATTGCTGGTTCAGTTTCATGCATGCTATTTTACTATGTTGTTAGTGTTAGTCTACAGACTTCAACATGAACCCTTGACTTATAGCATCTAGTACAAATTCTTATATTTTCACTACCCTAGTGCTAAAATTGAGTACAACTTATCTTCATTCCCCCTTTACCTTCCTGTGAAATGGTCATCCCACACTGTTGTCCTGCAAATATTATATATTTTAAATTCCAGATGGCATTCCCATGACGGTCTTGAGTACTCTCCCACTTGGACATGGGGGTTCTTCTCCCCAGATGGGCTCCATGGTGGCAATAACAATGAATAAGTTTCTCATATTTCCAGGAATTCAGATGTTGCTGGGACTTAATGTTCTTTCCTGTTTGTGTAAGTATGTAGGGGGATCCTCCCCTTCAAAGAGAGCCTTGGAGAGATATAAAAGGGTGCTTTAGGGTCAGTCTTTTCTCCCCCAATTCAGCCTGAGGTATATTTCTCTGAAAACTGCAAACCATTGGGCCAAATGGAGAGGAACAGGGATGGAGACATCTGCAAAGCAATTTGCCAGGCAGACAAGCTGAAGGGGCATGGATCTCCAGGTAGCTGTGACTGGAGACAATATTGCAGGGTCACCATAGGCATGCATCTGCTTGGTGAAGATTCCTAGCTCTGATGGGCTAAGGCAGAAAAACAGCTCATGGAGACCATAGGCCACATCAAGGGATGAGTGGAGACCCCAGCAAGACCCAAAAGCAGCCACAACTGAATATGGGCCACAGAAGTATCATCCAGAGAAACCAAACTACCTGAGACCCCAACCCTCCCCCACCCAAGCCCTCCCAGGGCTTATCAGGCAGGGAAGGAGCAGAAAGTTGCAGGTGGTATTTGTCAAAGGCGGCACAGTGGTGCCTCCCCATCAGAGTCTTCTGCAATGTGACCTCTTCCTCCAGGCATCAAGTGGCTGGGGACCAGTCTGTGCATCTACCCTGTGGCACCTCCACAAGGACAACACGGCTGGAGCCTGGTACTGTCTTTTCCTGTCCCAGCCAACATCTGAGCTCATGCAGAGAGTCCTATGCTTTAGCTATAGATGTTGTTGCTGTTATCCCCGTAATCAGTGTGGGAACTCCATGGATAGGGGTAATTTCTGTCACGGCCATTGTCGTTGATCTAATGTTTACGGCAGAACACTTGCCGACTCATTCACTCATTTACCCAATCATTCTTTTCAAAAACTATTGGGTGCTTGCTCTGTGCCATACACATTTTTTCCCTGAAGACTGGGTTCACATCAGGGGACAAAACTATTGAGGTTAACTAAGGATCAGGATAAACAAATAGGCCGAATAGATGTTTATTCAGGGAGAAATAACTTACAACCTAGACAGATGAACACCAGCAAGTTCCACCGGATACTCTCCTGTCCCAGTCCCACCAGCAAGAGAGCTTTTTGCGGCTCTTCCTCAACCTCCTTCCACAGGTCACTTCCGCCCATGGCTCCACCCCCAATGGGCGTGGTCAGTGCCACAGAAGGACTATCTCACTACACAAAACAGACAAGAACAGACAAACATCTTCATCTTCACTGATTTTAAAATCTCTTCAAACAAATTAATTAATACCACTAACTTACAGAAAAACAAAAAGGCTATCTACCCATAAAATTAGTTGTTATTTATTTTCTGCGCCTATGTAACCCTGGCTGGCCTCGAACTCATAGAGGCCTGCTTCTGCCTCCCGAGTGCTGGAATCAAATGGCAGCTAATTTTTAAAGGGAGAAAAGACTAGGTACTAGATCTGGCAGTCTCCCTGTACGTGTTTGCAAATTCTCACCGATAATATATAAACCTATTGGGAAAAGAGGAAAGGTTCTGGCGCTCTTGGGATGTCTGGAAGAAGGAAGATCAGGAGAGGACAGGAGAGGAGCCTCTTTGGAGGGACTGCCAGCATGAGGCTAGAAGGGGATCCATCAGCCAGTATCCCACAGTGGCTCCGAAGTTCCGTTACAGCCCAACCGTCAGGGGACATGGGATTGTGCGCTCCACGGAGTGAGTGAGTGTGTGTGTGTGTGTGAGAGAGAGAGAGAGAGAGAGAGAGAGAGAGAGAGAGAGAGAGAGAGAGAGGGTGCGGAAGGGACAGGGGACCGCCAAGGTGTCCCTCCTCTCCCTTCCTTCGGTCTTATAGCCGCGATATCGGGGTAGGGCTCCCGAGTGAAACAGGATGGGGGCCGATCGTCCCTGTCACCTTCCCGTCCCTGGGCTTACTGGTTTGGTTTATCCTGGAGATGCAAAAACAGGAAAAGCAAAAGAGCAGGACCGCAACGGAGGCGAAGAGCAAGTTCACGTTCTTGGCCTTCATCGCGCTGGCGTCACCGCGGGTGGAGGCGACCGGCGTCGCAGCAGGCTGGGGGCTGCACCCCGAGGCTGGCCAAGCAAGGCGCCTGCGTCCCAGACACCCGCGCCTGCGCCCTGACCCACCTGGGCAGTCGATGGGTCCCTGGGCCCTTTGCCTGGTTAGATCGCGGTCCCTTCTTCAGTGCACTTTATAACCCTCTGGATATGGCTGAGGGGTGGTTAAGCATGAGAAACTGTGAGCGAGCCCAGGGCTGCCTGGCCCTGGCTAGATTTTTTTTTCCCCCTTAGAGTATTCACCAGTATTTCACCAAGGCACAGCCGCTGGGCCCCTTCATCTCCTTCATCCGTGTTTCTGACTTAGCCTTTTTCACTCTGAACTCTCTTGGAGACTCGCGGGCAGTGTTGTGTGATAAGCAATTTCTTTTCTGCAAGCGAACTCTGGTTTCTGGCCCCTTTGAGAGCTTAAAGAGATTTTGATAGCCCCCTGCTTGAGAATGTCGTCCTGAATGCTAATGGGAGTTGTGATTAGCGAGATCCTGAGATGAAGATAAACACTTCACCTTTCTGCTTTTCCAGCCCCTCTGTTTCCCAGGCGTTTGCTAAGCGCTCTTGGCAGCCACAGGGTAAGCAAACCCTGCCAGGTCACGCACAAACTTGCCAGACCATAAAGCCATGGAGAACACCCATACCACAGAGAGCTGAGAAAAGGAAGACATTCGCAGAAGCACATCACAACAGCTTCTTGTGCTCATTGGAGCATCAACTAATCTGTTTTTGCGTTGTTTCTGCTCGGATGTCTCACCTCAGTGTGTCCAAGCATCTCCCTTGAGAGCTCTGTATCTACAGAGCTCTGTCAGTTTTATCAATGGCATTAGACTAATCGGACTCACTGATTTTACACCCCACCATCTATAAAATGTCTACAATCCTTAGAAACTTCTTTCTAGACACGTGTTTCTGTTGTTGTCGCCACGTTGTGGTGGTGACATTCAAACTGGTCCCACTATAGCATCCACTCTGCGGCCCACACTTCTTCCACTAACAGACGGGTGTTCCGCCCATCATGCCTGTTTGAGTAGCTCCTCTCTTCCGTGGTGATAAAGCTCAGGCAGGCTCTTCAACTGGTAACCAACCAGAAAATGAGTATTGCTGTAAATGCAACACAAGAGAGGTATCAAACTGCCAGCCTCCAGTTTTCTGTCAGTTACTTTTTAAGCACAAATATTCAGATTACCACCAGATGGCAGCATTATGTGTCAACCAAACCAAACAACAAAAACCCACAAAAAACAAAAACAACCAAAAAAGCAAAGCAAAACAAAAAACCAAACCAAACCAAAATAAAAAGGTAACAGAAAATTCCCAAACCCTTTGAATATGCTGGAATCCCTGGGTACTGATACACACTTGGATCACTGTTCTTATATATTTTCATAGCTTGTTAAACAGACTCTTGGTGTGTTTTCTTTCCATTGGCAGAGCCCTTGAAAGGAGTGTGTTTTATTGTTAACAGACTAACTGTGGAGGTCCAAAATTAGTTTTAGGTTCATGGTATTTAGCCAAAGTTAAATAGACAGGGATGGGCTCTGACTCCTAGTTAGATGACCAACCAGCTGGCTAGTCTTCCTTGTCACTACAACTATCAAATCCTTCCAAAGGGCTAATCACCACAACACCTTCATCAACATGATAAACACAGTCAATTTTTATAGTAACCGTGTTTAGATACAGTCTTGATAGCTGTGATGAAATCAAAGAGAACAGATATCCTTGGGGAAAAGTCATAAACACACATTTGTATAGCCAACCTTGCTAGACTTTATCAGGGAGTTAGAGTTAGTCTGATTTATCACTCAGATACAGCCCATTAATTTTGCTGGACTGCCTGTTCAGCTTACAACAGTCATTTTCTTAAAACCACGATAGTCAAGAGTTATTTGTAAGAGCTGCTGTCTTTCCTGGGCTACCTAGGGTCACAGAAAACACAGAGTTGGGGATTTGTGCTTTCCATTTTTTGATAAGGAAAGGTGAGATCTCCAGTGTTCTCCAGGAGTTTGGTGCTACCTGGCATTCACTATAAGGGACCACTGGGCTTTCATTTTGACACTCTCCTTGAAACTACATGAAGGGCAGGCACTTCTCTGTCTCATTTGACTTCAAGATGTTATGACAAGGACCTTAGCCATGCTCATTTTAATTTTGCAACCGGTAAAATCAAAAGCTAGATTTTTAAAATATTTCTTTCTTGACATTGTCATAGTGATTTGGTGCTAGCATTGTATCTTTTTCATATCCTAAACTTCTATCTTTATACCTTAATGTTGCACTTTTCCTGTCTTTCTGGGATGTGAGCATATTTTCCACCATTATTATGGTCTACTCAATAACTGCAAAACATTTCCTACCATCCTTCCCACCTCAACACCCTTGGACTCTCCACACAAGTCAAATGATCATTTCTTCTTGTCTTGGTTACTTTACACATTACATTGACAAAAAACTGGCCAGAAAAACATAAAAGACAAAGGTTTGTTCTGGCTTATAGTTCCAAGGGGAGAAAGACCATCTTGGTGGAGAAGGCAGGGCGGCAAGAACATGACTCTGGGCTTTGTCATCCTGCAGGTTCAGTGATCTGCTAGAGCTGTGTGCTTTCAGGAGCTATAACAGCTGTACTGAGAGTTTGAAGGTCTTCACTTGAATAGTAAAATCCTACATGCCAATGTGTCCAAACTAGTTTTTATTTTGTTAAAGCTGTTAATCCTAGAGTGACAATAGAGTACTCTTTGCTGTCTGCCTACTCCATTCTTGGAGGAGGGCTAGACAAGAACTTGATTGGGGACAGGAGGGAGATGGTCTCCACCAAAAATATTTCACTCCTGTTGGGCCAAAGATGGTGGTTTATGTGTCTTTCACTAGTTTATATTCTACAAGTTGTGGTAAAGTGTGTACTGATCATGTAACTCCTTGAGTTAACAAGGAGATGACTGGAACACAGAGAAGACATTGGCTTGGATGTTTCTGGAAGTATAAGGTACAGATAATGGTTGCTTCTGAGCAAATGAAATGGGATCAGGAATCTTGGTTGGGTGGGAGGATTCTATTTATTTATTTATTTATTTATTTATTTATTTATCTATTGAGACAGATCTTATGTTGCCAGGCTGGCCTTGATCTCCCAATCTCCTGCCTATATTGCCCTCTGGCTGGTATTACAAGGCATGCACTACCATGCCCAGACCTCTAGACCCTATTATTGTTCACAAGGGTCAGCCTTCCTACTGAAGCTGTCCCAGCATACTCCCTCACTTCATCCAGTAAAGCATCTTACTTTGCTGACTCCGCTGTATGTAACTCCTCCCCCTAACTCCTAATCCCCTTTATCTAATCCTCCTAATAGTTTTGTTAAGCAGCTTCACCTGATAGTACACTATGTTTTTGCCGGTTGGTTGGTATGTAGTCCCTTGTAGAAGACAGCCTGGCATAGTTTACTAGCTAATCAACCGTATGTTTTGAGGTTTTAAAAAAAATGTGCACACACTATTCCTCCAGTAGAAACAATAATTAAGAAATGAACGTTTAATGAGCTGATCATTCAATGTTCATTTTTAGAATAAAAAGTTCAAACTTCATAACTTCGCATTGCACACATAGACCATGCAAATTCCTTTGCGTCATCAATAAGGTCCCTTTGAGCCAAGTTTCCTTTGTGCCTCATGGAGGATAAAATCACTTCACAGATTAGGAAATGTAGGTGAAAGTGCGGGGGAAGAGTCTCCAAAAGCCTGGAACAAAGTTTCCAGGGTGCGTCCGCCAGGGACCACGTTGGCGCTGGGCGTGGCAGCCGGCCCCCGTTGCCAGGGGAACCGTCCGGCGTCTGGTGCACAGGCCCGCAGGCCTTCCTTCCGCGCCAGCGATAGGCAGGAACGCAGACCAATCAGAAGAGGGAGGGAAGGTGGGGCTCGGAGCCGGAGACGCCTCCTCCCTCCCTCACGATCCGGCCTCCGGTCCTGACTTCCGGGTCGCGGTCCTTGAAGGGAGCGCTCTGCGTCAAGCGTCGTTTCCGTTGCTGGTGTTTGCAGCTGGGGGAAACCGAGGCAGCGCCAGCTTCCCCTAGTTCTTCCGCTCCTATGAGGTGGCTGCTGTTTTAATTTTCTCTCACCCCGCATTGCTGGTGTGCGGCCGCGCAAGCCTCACGGGGTCCTGCGGATAATCCGCACGGTGCCGGGGCCGTCGGGGCTTTGTGCTGCGCTCCCGCTCGCGAGAGGGGCGGGACGGCGCGGGGCCCGAGGGGCTCGCGCGCGACTTCCTGGGGCCCGCGGCCGCCGGGACGGCCTGCCGGTGCCTGGCACTTCTGCCACCTTCGTCCCGACGAGCGCGGACCGGATGACTCATTTTAAAGATCCAGAACCGTGCTTCTGGCACCGGCACCCAGTGCCTTGCCCCGCGGAGATTTCGAATTTGACAGCTGCTCGGGCCCCGGCGCACAGAGGGTGTGTCTGCAAATCCCAGGGCTGGAAGGCAGGCGAGGAGCGGTTTCCTTGCGGTCCCCGGCATCCATCCTCCCCTTCGTTTAGCACCCGAAGAGTTTTCTTCTAAGATCCAGTTGTACCAAGTGTGTAGGTTTTGCGGGATTTTTTTTTTTTAACTTTTTTGGTATTTCTGCTTTTTACCTGGAAAAATCATGAGTTCGCTAGGGTGCCATCTGCTCGGTTTTCAACCTGTATGCTTCAGTTTGTAAGCCACTTGTAGTGTTCTCATTTGTCAGCTGACCGAGACAGCTGGGACAGGCTCTGCGCCAGGGCTAAGAGCTCCTTTTTGGGGGAACCACATCTGATGTGGTTGACTTGAAATTGTTGCTCGGTTGGTCCTTTTATTGTTGAACTGTTCAGTTCCAAGAATGAAAAACAGAAGTAGGAATTCAAAATATAAAATATTTGGAAAAAAGTAAGGTTGTTATTTTTTTTTAAGCCATTAAATAATTTGGCCAGGTTTTTCCTACTTTTTTACATTTTTGTTTTTTAAAATGACCATTTGTCTTAGAGATAAATTGAACTTTTGGTTGATAGTATTTAATCTATGTTGTATACTGCTTCCTTGCCTGACTGATTAAACACTGTCACAAAATAGATTTTATTCTAATTTGGGATTTGGGGAGTTGGATCAACTTAATTTGTTTTTCAGTTTTAAAATTCCAGTATAAGGTCATTAAGCTTGTGTTCTTAAATCTTTTTTCCAGGAGAACATGTTTATTTCTTTGTGGGAATTCTTTTATGGGCACTTTTTTCGATTTTGGATGAAATGGGTCTTACGACAGATGACTGGAAAGTGTGAGTTGCAGCGAATTTTTGACACCTATGGAGGTGCCCAGAGGACGTACAGGATAGGTAATGCTATTCAAAATCTAAAAATTAAAGGTTAATAAAAATGTAATTAATGCTGTCTGTCCACCCAGTGGTAATGTACTTGTGTGTTCTGACTAAATCATTGCAACTGAATTTCTTAAGCTTTGTGGACTTTGAGTCCTTTTTAGTGTACTACTGACTACTGCACATTGAATAATTGTATATAAAACACTCTTATATCTGCATATATCTACCCAAAGAATAAATCTTTTGAGTTTAAAAAGGTATTATCAGCCTGGCGTCGGTGGTGCACACCTTTAATCCCAGCACTCGGGAGGCAGAGGCAGGTGAATCTAAGTTCAAGGCCAGCCTGGTCTATGCTATTTCCAAGACAGCCATGGCCATACAGATAAACCCTGTCTTTAAAAAAAAATCAAACAAATAAAATATCAGTTATTCTTCGGGTTATATGTGCAATTGTTTACTGAAAAGTTATTCTTTCTTCCGTTTGAAATTTTTACACAACTATATGATGAAAAGATTGGAAGAGTCAGTATCTTTTCCTACTTTGTGGCTTACTTACCAGTCTTCTCACTTCTTACTCTCATTTATGATGGCTAGACTGCTTATTGTCCCAGGGAATTAGTAGAGCCTGCCAGGGCTAGTGCCGTAGTGGTAACCACATGAAGCATGCATGGTGTCAGCAAGATTTGTGTGAAAAAAAGTGTAAAGATGTCATAACTGCATTTATAACACATTGAAGTGATAATATTTTGGATCTGTGAAGTTATTGTAATGCAAATTGTATTTCTTTTTAATTTAATGGAGCTGTGGAAATTTTTATGGGATGCATGGGGCTTACTATGGCTTGTGTTATATTTCTGCCAAATGACAGTTTTTCACTGTTTAATTGAAAATGTTGCTCTGACTTCAAACCCAGATGGTTGAGAACTGTGGTTTGAAGCCACTTTAGGTGTGGTAAGAAAGACTAGGCAGAGCCACAGCTCGAAAATTGATCAAGAATGCCTCAAACAGGAATTAGTACCCTTAGGGCCAAGGAGTGAGGCACGAGGCATGAGTGAAGGGCCCTGTACCCAGGTGGCATTGGAGGAATGGCAGAAGCATGTCCTGGCCACTGGCTGACTGAAGCTTAGTGTACACCCTTTGATTTTTCCCTCTTACCTGTTCAGAAGATCTAGGTGCCCCTTGACTCAGGTTTCCGCAGGCTGTACTCATTGGCCCGTAACAATATGTGGGAAAAACATACTGAAGGGGTTACTTTGAGGCATAAAGGCATTTTTTTTTTTTAATCCTCAAAAACAGAGCATTCTCAGTGTACCAGAAACTTTTTATTTTTAAACAGACCATCACAAATGTTCTTGTCATTCTTAGAACAAAAGCCAGGAATGTAGAGTCTGTTTGCTCTTTGCTTGGGGGAGCAAAGTTGGCCAGACGGTCTAGTCTCGGCTGCTTTGTCCTGTGGTGTTCAGTTGCTGGTCACTCGGGCTAACAGTGAAGAGAAAGGAGTAGAGAGCCCTCTTCAGATGAATCTCTGAGATTGGAGCTGTTGGCAGACACCCTCCTGTGGGTACATAGAAACAATGTTCTGGGGAAATTGACATCAGCTTGGTACTGTGTTTCAGGGGATATCATTCCAGTTTCTTCTCTGTCCTATAAGACTTTGAGATGATTGCTCTGTTGTTCATGTAGAAATTATATTTTACACTGCAAGAGTGACTTATCATTGCTTTTATATTTTTACTATTTGATTTTGGTCTAATTCAGAAAATATATTCAAGTGGTAACTTTTTTTTTTTTAAATTTCAGAAAATTCCTTGACATATTCCAAGAGTAAGGTAAGGGCACATTAAAATGCTAATTCTAGAAAACTTAGCCTAAGCATATTTTTTTTTCTTTAAAAAGAGCACTTTGATTTCAGGATTATATTTACCATCTTTGCTATGAGAAACCGTGAGTTAAATTTTCTCCTTTTAGAAGTGGTGATTCTGTCTTCAAAATACTTTTTCTCTGTGTTCTGATGGACAGAAAAGTATTTCAGTTCTGTGTCTTATCCTGAGGCTTTACCTGTTTATTTTGCAGTAGCAGTTTGTAGCTTTTGGAGATCAGTGTCTTAGGGAAAGCCCTCACGTGGCCATCTTCTTAGGGTAGGTTGTGTGAGAGAAGAGCAAAGCAATTTTAGGTGGAGAAACCCTTGCATGTTTACCTTTGGATCCAAAGTGAGTCCCAATGTGGGCCATGTAGCTGTCAGCATTTGCTGTGTAAGAAACAAACCTAAAGCCGCAGGAGCATAAAGCCGGGTTACTGTGTGCTTTTGCACATGTGGCCGCTGCAAAGGCCCTTTACCAAGTTGGTGTCACATTCTTACTTGTCCACATGTCTTATTGTAGGCTACAGGTATGGAATTCGGTGGGCACAGAGGGAATGGTCTTATAGTGACTCAGTTGTAGGCCCAGCAGAAGTGTTATCTCCATTTGCATCCACTGGTTGAATGAGTGGCCAAGTGCAAAGCAAAGAGTCCTCAAATGCATTAAGTATACCCTCAAACCAGGTCAGGCAAGTGGTTGCATAACTGACTTGCAGTCGTGTAAAGTCAGGACCAATATGGCTGTCTACCACATGTTAGCCACAGCATTTGATGCTGTGTTAATTGGAAAACCAAGAACTAAGCAGCTAGGATTAACTATTAGGTCACAGTGTTTTCTGTATAAGAATTACTGTAGTGCCGGAGACACTATTGGAAACTGTGTTAATAGATAATGACCAGCATTACATAGTGACAAAGGGGACAGAAAATACTTAGAAATGATTGCTCACAATAAGATTAAATATTATTTTATGACATTTTTAGTTCAGTTATCTATGTGTACATCTGTTTTATAGATAGCCATATATATGTTTGTACTTGGCCATAATGAAAACTGAATCATAATAAGCACATGGACGTGACTGTGTCTGCCAGTGTTGATAAGAGTTGCTGACTCACACTGGAAACAGAGAGTGTTGGATTCTACAGGCTGATACGTTTCTTTCTGGAGAGTTACAGCTAAAGTGGTGCTTGCTAATTTAGGTATAATCTCATGAGTTAACTGTGTAAGAACAACTCAAACCACATAGATGAACACCTGGGAGGGTATGGTTATCTTTTATTCAGAATCCTAAAGTGATTTGCTTATTTTTTTTTTCTCATGAGAATGTGGCATCTGAAAATTTGAAAGTTTCTGCTCTAGTTCTTTAATTTACATACACCTCACTCACTCACTCACTCACTCACTCACTCACTCACTCACTCACTCACTCACTCACTCACGTAGTTCCTGCCATTGAAATGTAGCAGGCAGAGCCCTACAGCAGTCTGGTGCATTGTGGCAGACCTACATGGGCACATCGTATTTCAGAACTGTTACAACAGGTTCAAACTCAGCAGCTCCAGCCCTCGGGAAGCTTGTTGGAATTTCTGGGCCCAACTCCAGAAATCCTGATTCTGTTTCTGATGTGTTGCTTTTCTGGTGACATTGTCTTTTCTGGTGACACTGTCCTGCGGCTCAGGGCCCTGCTTGGAGGGACAGCCCTACATCCTGACTGTTCCCATTCTTTCTGTAAGGAGTTGTGTATTCCACAGGGACCAAAGCAAGTTGTGTTTCTTTGTGTCATAATTCTGGGGGTATTTGAGAATGAATCGTGCTTTGACAGGTGCTTTCTTGTGGCCTGGGAGCCAAACTGTAGAAGTGTAAGAGTTCCTCATACCACACCTTCAGACCCAGCATGTGTCCCAGCTTTTGAGGAGAATGTCCTTTCTACTGCTTTGACACTTGCCTGCAGCACTATCCACTTGCCCTGCGTGGCTTGCTATTGCATCGAACATGGCTCTTGTCTCAACCAAAGCACCACCTTCCACCCGGCCTATGTGCCACGAGAGCCAGAGTATTCATTCTCCCATTAAGAGCTTGTCACATCATCTCCAGTTTTGTCAGTTGTGGCCTCGTGAGCACTCTGACCACTCTCTGTTTCGAATTGTAACTTTTATCCGCCTGTCCTTTTGCCTTGTTATGCAGTATTTTACTTTTTTATGTCTCCACTTTCTCCTGCCCCACAATGAAGTGTAGTGTTTGTCCTTTACATCTGTATCCACCAGCTCCTGAATGGTTTGGAAGTGCAGGGTCTCCTTTCTCACATGGAGCCTGTAGGATTTGCTCTCTTTGCTACTGCCAATGGAGAAGGCACAGAATCTGAACTCAGCACCTGGGCATCAGCAGAGCCACTGAACCAAGTGTCAGCTGCAGCTATGTCTTATGGCCTGGGAAGTCATCAGTGAGATTTTATGTGTATAAAACTGAGATAAATGGAAGTCGGGTAGGAGATAAGATGTCGGGGAGCTTAACAAACATTTGGATTTGATGATGACATTTCAGCATTCTACCAGGGTCGTCAGTAATGGATAAAGAAGTAAAGTGGATGTTGTGTAATTATCAATAGGAGAAGTAAAGAGTGACACAGGGAAGGAAGGGTAACAGGGCGTAGACCAGTGGTTTTCATCTTCCTAGTCTGTGACCCTTTAATACAGTTCCTCATGTTGTGGGGACTCCAGCCACAAAACTATTCCATAGCTACTTTATAACTGTAGTTTTGCTACTGTTATGAATTGTAATGTAAGTGAGACACACAGGATACCTGATATGTGACCCTTCTGAAAGGGTCATTTGACCCCCAAGGTGGTCGAGACTCCACAGGAGTCTATGAAATAAACAGAAAATAATATGCTAATTTTGAAATGTAAATGTTAAAGTTGTATTATGATCTCACCATTAAAAAAGTAAAATGCTGCTGGGTGGTAGTGGTGTATACTTTTAATCCCAGCCAGAGACAGAGGCAGGTGGATCTCTGTGAGTTCCAGACCTGCCTGGTCTACAGAACGAGTTCCAGGACAGTAAAGGCTACACAGAGAAACCCTGTCTCAAACAAACAAACGAAAAACCAAAACAAAAGTAAAGTAAAATCGTTATGTTTTATAGCACACTATAAAGTGAAAAGCTAACAGTGCTAACAAAGACTCAGTTAATCATAGATGCTTTGTTTTCTTGAAGCCTGAAGTCAAAAGCAAGTTTGTTAATACATGGAGACGGACTTGGCAACTCACACATGCAATTTGTACATATTTTTCACATTATATTTACTTCAAGAGAAAAATCTAATTCTGATCTTATGGTATTTCCATTGGCTACCTCTGCATTTTATTACATGAGATAAAACTGGAGAAAAAATTCTGATTTTATTGCTTCCTACTTGTTTGACTTTTTGCAATTTGTTTGTTCCCTTATTGGTACCATATGATGGTTTTAGGACTAGAGACTTTATATGAAGGCAGCATAAGAGAACACACTGATAATGTCGATGATGATGTAATTAAGCCAAAGGACACTACAAGAATTAGAGAGAATTAAAGCATTCACAAAACCCTCTTACATATTTAAATACTTTGCATTTTCAATGCTTCTTGTGACTAACAGCAATTTTAATCTATTAAGGCTTGTCCCCAACAGTGATCTCAGAGTATGGTTGTGTGGGTTGTAATTTGCTTGATAGTTGAAACTTCTTTGATTGTTAAAAATTAAGTCTCAGTTATAGACTAGGGACAGTTTATAAATTACATCCTATGGCTGCTAGAATATGAAGATTCCAATATTTGGACTATAAACTAGCCCAGGGGTCAAAGAATGTGGTAGGAGACAGAAAGAAATTGGAGTGAAATCACAAGAGTCAACATTTTCTTAGCTTACCAAACAACTTTACACACCTAAACCATTTATCTATATTTGCGTCTTCAGAAACCGGAGAAGAAACTAAGTCCAGACCAAATTGAGGAACTTATAAAATAAGGCAGAAAATTAATGAAATAGGGAAGCAGACAAGAGTAGATACTACCAACAAACCCAGAAGCCAGTTTTCTTTTTAAAAGAGTAATAATGTCAATAACCTCTAAGAACTCATCAAGTATGAGAGAAAACCAAGATTCTCAGTGTGAAGAAAGGTAGAAAAGCAGTCACCATAGCCTAGATTTCAAAATTCTTTGAGCAACTTCCTGCTGGTGGCTCCTGTAGCTTAGATGCCATGGAAAAGATCACTGAAAGCATAGTCTATCATCTAATATGAAAATAAACAAAAAATCTAGGTGGCTATATATTTAAAAATAATAGAGAGAGATGAAATCTCAATTTAAAATGTTTTCAAAAATTTCCAGCATTGGCCTAATTAATTCTCTCTTAAAAGATTTTGAGCCTTTGTGTCATATTTTATGAGTGTTTGCCTGCATGTATGCATGTGCACCATGTATATATACGTGGGGCCCACGGTGGTCAGAGCAGGGCATCAGATCCCATGGAGCTGAGTTACAGATGGTTGTGGCCTCCATGTGGGTGCTGGGAACCAAACCCCGGCAGGTCGTCTGTGAGAGCAGCCAGTGCTCTTAACCATTGAGCCTGCCCTCCAACCTGGCTGAACTGATTTTTATCAAACATTTACGGGAGAAGATACAGTGCCACTGTTAACAGTGAGTCCTAGGATATAGAGGTGAAAGAAGTATTTTTCTTTCTTTTCTTTTTTTGAAGACAGACTAAAATTAAAACCAAGTAAAGACATAAATAAAAAGTACAACTCAGTGCCCTTTATGAATGTGATAAAAGAATCCTTACAAAATATTGGCAAATTGATACTAGTAACAGATAAAAAGGATACTATAATTGGAGTTTAAAATCAGTGTTATGATAAAGCGTGTGGGGGACCATGACGGATTCCATGGCAGGTGAGGGTGACCGAGGCAGGTGGTGGTGGGGACAAACATGCCCCGCAGACAGAGCTTAGTGAGAAGTTGTTTTAGAAAGAGCAAGGAGGGGAAGGGAAGAGAAAAGAGGTAAAGAGACACAGAGACGGAGAGAGGACAGAAGACAAGACGGAGACAGGAAAAGTCCTGTCTGCCCCAGGGGAACAGTGGGCAAGAGAGAGGGAGAAGACGGGAAAGAGACCATAAGTGGGCAGGGGTCTTTCTTTTAAAGGGGTCCTTTACCTGCGGACAGACTAGCGTCAGGGAACCCTGGGCCCAGGGTACTTACTGCCTGAGTGCATCCTGCCAGGTGACGGGAGCAGGCCAACATAATGCCTAAATCCTTGGAGTGAGTATAACGTATTACAACATTAATAGAGTCAGAAAAATATGATCATTTTGAGAGATATTGAAAATCTGCCCGTGATTAAAAACTCTCCCAGCTAGAAGAGCAGACCACGCAGAATGGTCACCATTTTAATGTGCTGACAAGTGCATTGTGGGAAGAGAAGCTGCCAGAAGGAGCACTGGAGAACTGGATATGGGAATAGGAGGTAGGGTGGGACAGGAAGACGGTTCTTAGAGCCTGTTGCTGCTCCTCCTTTTAAAATTAATTGTAAGTTTCTAACATCTCTTTTAAACCTTTTTTTATTGATGTCCTTCTTACATTCCAATCCCAGTTTCCCCTCGCTGCGCTCCCCCTGCTCCCCCACTTCCCTCTTTTTTGACAATTTCATAAGTAAGTAGTGATTTGTGGCCGGGTTTTTCCCGACCTACCTTTCTCCCTCCAGAACATGCTGGCTCCCCCAGCAGCCCCTCCACTCTCGTGACTTCTTCACTTTTCACCACTGTGGTTAGGAGGCTTTTAGACAACCACACTGTATACATAACTCCAGCTCTCGGGGAGATCTGACGTAAACCTGACTTCTGTTTTCTCTTTTCTTACTTTACACATCAGTCCCATCCCAGTTCCTTCTCCCTCCCTCCCCCTACCCTCTTCCGTCCCCCCACTCCACAGGGAGGGTGATGCCTTCCAGGAGGGATCAACAAAATCTGTGAAGTCATTTGGAGTAGGGCCTAGGCCCTCCTTCCTGCCTCTAGGCTAAGGGAATATTCCTCCTTGGGGAATGTGCTCCCAAATCCTTTTGTGCACCAGGGATACATCCTGGTTCCACTGTCAGAGGTCCCTTAGACTGCCCAGGCCTTCTAATGTAAACGTGGTTTCTTTTTGCATTTTAATATCTCCTTGGTAAAGTTGATGAAATGTCTCAACTTGTATGTCAACTCTCGGGGACTTTTCTCATCCAGCTGTATCTCGACAACTAGGTTCTTCAGAATGCAACACGAGTTGCCGAGAGCGAACTGGACAGGTGTGTAGCGGACATAATGAAGGAAAAGAACATCTGCCCTGAGAAAGACACCAGGTGCGCTGCTCCCTCTGCAACTGAATCGTGCACCGTAGCCTGCTGTGCAGAGCCCTGCTCAGATGGACTGTAGTGGGTGATGTAGCCCTCTCCTCTCACCCCGTGAGCACTGAGGTCCAGTATGCTGGTAACTGCGCAGGGCTACAACTGCATAAGACTGAACCAGGTCCTCCCGCTCAGCCCCATGCTAGTCTCTTGAAGTTAAATAACTTTGGCCACTGTCCTTCCTGCCCTTCAAATTTTGTTTTTTGTGTCTTCTTCAAGCCAGCTCCTCCCCAGGCCCTCCAGTGTGTGTCACTGGTTCTGCCGAGCCCTCACACTGCTCTCTATCCTCATGAGCAGGCTGCACTGTGGCCTTCTGTGGCCAGTGTAGTCCTGTTCTACAAGAGTCACCACGTAGCCAGCTAGATAGGTGATAGGCACACTGAAGGGCAACGGTACATCAAAGGACTAGATGTCTTCTGTGTAGTTATATGTGATATCAGTAGATACATATGTAAGGGAGGTGAAGGTGGCATTGGGAATGACAGTGGGTAGGAAATGAACCCTTGGGGTAAGAATCATCAAAGCCATAGACCATACTGGAAGTTGGTGCCTTATGGATTGGTCTGGCGGCATTGCAGGGATGGACAGGGTAAGGCTGTCTTCTAAATGTTGAAGGATTGAACTTGAAGTGCTGTGGCCCTTGCTAGAGTAGAGTCCCTGAAAACATGTTGTCTTAAGGACAGTAAGCTACTTCATTTGGGGAAACATAACTTGTGGGTTGTTTTGTATACACTTCAATAGTCACATTGCTGTGTGGCAGTAAAGATGGCAGATGTGTGGACTGCTCAGAGAACATTTGTGAGTGAGTAGTGGAGCCAGTTTTACCATGGTCCCGTGTGATCCCCTCCGGGACACAGTCCCGTGGATGCTCTGTGGGACACAGTCCTGTGTGATGCTCTGCGTGACATAGTCTCATGTGATGCTCTGCGTGACATAGTCTCATGTGATGCTCTGCGTGACATAGTCTCATGTGATTCTCTATGGGACACAGTCCCGTGTGATGCTCTGCGTGACATAGTCCTGTGTGATGCTCTATGGGACACAGTCCCATGCGATGCTCTGTGTGGCCTTTGGTGCATCTTGTGTTAAATTGAAAGCCAGGAAACACCATCTAAGTGGATGTATGAACTACAGGCTTTGCTTTATTGTGATAAGAGGTCTGATGTAAACTAATAATTATCCTTTCAGTTTTCAAATTTGTATGAGGACGTGCTTACTGCAGATAACTGGCTATAAGCAGCTCTACCAGGATGTAGAAAATGTGAGGAAAAAACCCTATGATTCTGGCAATGCACAGCACGAGAAACTGCTCCTCAAGGTAAGTACTAGTTCAGTGTTCCGGAAGTCAGCTTCAGCTGTGAGAGCTGTGTGGACTCTCAAGGTTCATGTGATCCACCCATGTGTTTGCCTCTTGGAGAATTTGTGTTAGATTTCATTGATAGGGAAAGATTGTTGGTCAATAAGTCTTACTTGATAAGCATCTTTTAGAATCTATTCAAGTAAATAATGCTTCTGAGATAAGTTATCCATTCATAAAAGGGGATCTCTTCCACCTCAAGGCAGGGGTACCTGGGCCCTATCTAATTTCCTGTGGAGGTTGCACTTTCTCTTAGCAACACAGAAGCTATGAAAGTAGATATCCATTTTGCACGGCATTGTGGGACTTCCAGGAAGGCATCAGTCGGTAAATAGTAGACTCCAGTTGTAAGGAAGGAGAGAGGCTTCCTGTCACCTGCTTCTGGTGTGTAAATGTGTGAGGGTGGTGTACTGATGTGTAAAGGCTGACACCTAGAGAAAGTGCTGTGGACCGTTCAGTCTGGCCCTTCTTGTGGGGAAGAGGATTCCACCCCCCCCCCCCAGGATGGGCTGGGTTGCTTCTGGTTCTAAAGCTCTAGAGCCTGGAGCTGCTTTCTGCCCTTCTTCTGCTCCAGTCCACACTGTGTTCAGGAGGGCTACAAGGGTGGTTTGTAAAATTTTTCTTCCCCTCTCCCCCCTTTTCTTCCTTACCCTCTCCACTTCTCTCCCCCTCCCTGTTTTTGTTAGTGATTTCCTGACATTACATGTGGCATGCTTAGTTTTGGTTGACCCTCCCCGCCTCCTCTTTGCTCCCCATCCCTGCTTAAACCCTTCTGTCCCAGACTCCCCTTCCACTCCGTCTCCCATGCATTCATTCCATTAGTTTAGGTTGCACTTGGAGTTAGGCAGGACTTGACAGAACCAAAAGTCCTATGGAAAGTAACACTGGGGACATCTAAGTGAGATCAGCTGCTTACACTCAGCAAAACTGCCATTGCAAAGGACCTGGTTTCAATTCCCAGCCCTGGCATGGTGGATCACAACTATCCATACTTCCAGTTCCAGGGGATCTGACACCCTCTTCTGGCCTCAGAAGGCATGAGGCACACACATGGTGTACATAAACACATTCATAAACATAAAATGAAAATAAATCTAAACAACAATAAGACCTTTTTTTAGGAAAAAAATGTAAGTTAACACTTAATTGCAAAATTAAAATAAAGCGTTATTGTGTAGGTTGAGCTTACATTTGAAGTGATTAAAAGCAAGCTAGATGGTTACTTGACATCTTCACTCACCGCGATTTCAGACACCCTCTGTGTAACAGCTGACTTCCCACAGGGGTTAAATACATGTCCTAGCATCCTGGTCTAGGCTACTTCCCCCTTGGCTGTCCCTTAAGCACTTCAGCTCTGGAGGTGGAGTGACAGTTGCTGGCTGTGACTGACTTTAGCTCAGCAATCCTGCTGGGAAGAGAACTGCAGAATTGGAGTAGTTTCAGTGGAATCCAAAGAAGTGTTCACCAGCTTTTTCAGCCTACATTTAGGATTCAGACTTCACCGTAACCTTATGAAACCAGCATTTCCAGGCTGCAGCCCATAATGGTACTTATGGATATTAAATTTTGAGTATTAAAAGCTGAATATGATGACATGTACCTACAACCCCAGAATTCTGGAGAGTGAGGCAAGAGGCTGGGGATTCAAGGCCATCCTGGGGTACATAATGAAATGCCACCTCCACAAACAGACAAATAAATAAAAATTAAACAGTAGTGGTTTTACATTGCAGCCCACACACCAAAAGCCTTATTGCTATGGTCACATTTCTTGTTGATATCAACAAGCTGTATGGGTTGCTAGTAAGAGAGTGGGCAAGATAAAGCCCAATCTAATAATTAGAGTTAGCCTCAGGGCCAGAATTCTGGAAGGCCACAGTCTTGAGTGTTTATTAGGTGACAGGATATGTTTCCATCACTCAACAGGGCCTCATGTTGTAACGAAAAGGGTGTGTGCGTGGGGAGGTAAACATTTCTGTTTTGCAAATCTTTTCAGTTTTTAATCAATGTCTTCAAGTCTGTGTTGACTGATGACTTACATTGTATCTTGAAATTAACTAAATTTTCTTGATTATTTTTCATTGTTTCTATCTAATGAAGGGAAAGATTGTTGGTCAACAACTTTTGATAACAACTTAGTGTTTATTAATGTTATTTTTTTCATGGTCCCCTCCCTCAAACCTGTTTTATGTAATTGGATTAAAGATTAATCACCCAATGTTACAGCAGAACCTATTCAAACCAAATTTGGGTCTGTTTACACAAGACTGTTCTTAAGCAGTTTAATTCTAGCAAATATACACTTTTTTTTTTTTTTTTTTGCTTTAAAAAAAAAGATTTCTATGGTTTTTTTTTTTTTTGCTTTAATAAAAAGATTCTTTATAATAGTTTTTCTGGTTGGAATAGATACACTATGTTTTAAATACAGTCCTTGTTGGTCTTAGAATTTGTCTAAAAGTTGTTGAACTGAAAGTATTCAATTATGAGTTACATAAGCTGAGAAAAAGAAGATGTCCCAATAAACCAAGAACATCACTATTATTTGTAACACAAAAGCATGTTTGTGCAGCTTTGGAGTCTTCTGATGCCTACGAAAAAGTTGAAGGCCCGGATCTCCAAGCAGTGGGCAGACATTGGTTTCCAAGGTGATGATCCCAAAACGGACTTCAGAGGCATGGGCATACTCGGACTAATCAATCTTGTGTAAGTGAAATAAGTTTCCTTTTCTCGGCTGACTGAAATTCTGCGTTATTTCCAGTCTCTTTTCATTCTACTGAGAATTGACTGTTGTTCCATATTGACTAAGGTTTTGTAACTGCAGCGCATATGTTTGCTAGGGTGCTGGCAACATTAGAAGACAAAATGTGTGCATGTGTGCATCACATCCATCTGTGCTCAGATTTGCGGTTCCTCCCCAGTGTTCACAGTGCATGCCTCCGCTCACCCTTCTCTTTCCAGCCTCAGTTCTGACACCTGCTTAAGAATATGAGCACTCTGTTGTGTTTCCACCCTCTTGCTCCATTATGTGGCTCTGATTCCCTTTGGGAAACCAGAAGCGGGTTAGGTGACATGCTCCTCACTACCTCTGTCTGTTGACGTGAATCCCCTCTTATGGCTGTGACAACTTAAGCCATGTGCATGACATCCCAAAATATGCAATATAAGTCACAACTGATAGTCAGTACTATTCTTGTAAGTAAACTGGAAAATTGAGTTCTTATACCAATGGTTCTCAGCATGTGGGTCACGACCCCTGTGTGTGGGGGACACATTGGATATTTACATTATGATTCATAACAGTAGCAAAATTGCAGTTATGAAGTAGCAACAAAATAATTTTATGGCTGGGGTCACCACAGTGTTAAAGTTACAGGGTGGCAGCACTAGGAACCCTGGCATACAGGTCTTCTATGGATATGCAGGGTTGCAGACTTCAGTGTTTCTGTTTATCTTTAAGTAATGTAGAGAATGGGAAGCTAATAATTTCTTTGTATGATTTTTGGGTTTTGTTTTGTTTTGTTTGAGAGGGTCTCTCTGTATAGGCCTCACTGACCTGGAACTCACTCTGTAGACCAGGTTGGCCTCAAACTCACAGAGATCCATCTGCCTTTGCCTCCTTAGTGCTGGGATTAAAGGTGTGTACTACTACCCAGCTCTTTGGATAACTCTTACTGTGAAAAAAATTGAACTAACCTAATACTGAGAAAAAATATTTAGGTCAGTATGGATAAAGCTACTGGGGGGAAAGATATGTCATGATGAGATTTCACAAAATATGTTAAATTATAAAAGCATGTATATTTTGGTAATGTCTAAAATCTTAAAAATTCTATATAATTCTGTTTTCTGAGGGTCTTTAAGGAGTGTGAACAACTTCCCCTCCTCCGTCAGAGCGGAGTTTAACTGAGCCTGGGGCTTGGGTAGTTTAACCGTCTGACTCTGGACTGTTGAGGGTCTGGATAGGTCTGTAATGAAGCACAGTCGTCTTCACTGTAGTTAAGGCATCAGCTGATGTGAAGATGGACTCACACACATCTATAATGTCTGCTCATCAGCAGTGAGTTAGACGTACACACTCCAGCAGTGGCAGGGAGAAGACTGGAGGGCAGCCCCACAGGGCCCCTAACAGGACAAGAGTTAGCAGGTTTCAAACCATTTCTCCCTTTTAAGTAAATAGGGAATCCCTTTGTAGGTGAGCACTCTGTTAGAGCGCCCCAGTCTGCCTGTGTTCCTTATTCAGAGGCTTGGCTCTTTAGGGTTAAAGTTGGACCCAGAAACCTTAGTGAGCCACTGAGGTGGCTCTGGAAGCTGGGGTGACTGATGGTGGGAGTGAGGGCTGTTGCTTTGACAGTGGTAGTTGCTTGCACTGAACTTTTTATGCTACTTTCAAGTGGAACATCTTTGTTTTATCATTTTTCCTGACTTGTTTAGGTATTTCAGTGAGAATTACACCAGTGAAGCACATCAGATTCTTTCCCGTTCAAATCACCCCAAATTAGGGTAAGCTGGGCAAATAGTAAAAAGCTAGAATCTTGCAATGAAAATGAGTATATAAATCTGAAGATATTTCAAAATGTATCTTAAAATGTTGTTATTTTAATGAGTGATAACTGTAGAAATATTATAAACTATTTTAAAGAAAAATTATCATAAATGTTCTATATATTCCAATAATTTTATCATATGGTATAGTTTACAAAACAAATATGGGGGGCTCATTTTTTTTTCAAAAACTGTTTCAAAAGTAGGAGTAAAAACTAATTGAAATAGAAAAATCAGAGTTAGCCTTGAAAATGATAAAGGAAATGCAAATTGAGGTCTTGTTATTAGCTATATATTGCTTTATACATAATAATTGGAACAATAAAGCTTGGTAAATGTAGATTTCCCTCTATTGTTTAGATGTCATGTGGTCAGAACTTTTATTTTTACTTCTTAGCTTCTATCCAGAAAATTAACAGTCTTCAAAAAACAGACACTTTGGATTTTTCTGACCAACTATAGAGAGATTATCAAAAAGCACGTCCTGTGTTTAGGCGAGCAACAGAACTGTTTGAGTGAATTAGTAAGTTATTTATGTACTTGTGTAAGCTTGAGCTGTCTGCCAGCTGTATAACTGGTGGTGTTTCTGATGTAGGTATTCTTATGCAATAGTTGGAATCAATCTTACAGAGATGGCTTATAGCTTACTGAAGAGCGAAGCCCTGAAGCTTCATCTCTACAACTTTGTTCCTGGGATACCAACAATGGAACACTTTCACCAGTTTTATTGTGAGTATTAGAAGGAGGCACACCAGACATGACCCAGAGCATCGTTAACTCTCAGCCAAGTACAGTGCACAGTTTTTAACCTAATGCCTGGGAAGTACAGACTTTATGCTTATCCTTTTACTGTTTAAAGTCTTTGAAATCCAGAGACATAATGGGAGATGGCTCTCCTAGTGCACTTTGTACTTTCTGTATTTGAACTCAGGTTGCCAGGAGTGCATGCCAAACAGCCTTATCCACTGAGCCATCTCCCTGGCCCAGGGTGGATGTATACTTTCTGAAGATGAGATGGTCTAAATATGATTTTATTGCTGTGGACAACATGTTTGTGTGGGCTTTAATTGCAGGTTACCTGGTCTATGAATTTGACAAGTTTTGGCTTGAAGAAGAACCAGAAAGCATCATGTACTTCAACTTGTACAGAGAGAAGTTTCATGAGAAGATTAAAGGACTCTTACTGAACTATAATACTGTACTCACTTTGAAAACATGAAACATCCAGAGCATCTTCTCTTTCTACCACGTTTTGCACACACAGCAGAATTTATATGTTATAGAAATTATCTGATCAACTACAATATATAATTTCCTACAAATACTTCAGAACTATTTAAGAAAGCTAGTGGACAATCAGTGTATGTTTACAGTTGTTTGTACACTGTTCTCCACAGGTTCCACACCCTTCCAAAGAGCCCTTCTGCAGTCACGTGAACTACAGTTTGGAACTTGGGACTTAGCCTGTTAGTATAAAAGTATAAATCAGGTATATTTATATTTAGCCAGTTGATTAAAACGTGCACGAATCTCATTTTTATGTGTTGTACCTCAAGCTGGTGTCATTTTCAAAATTTCACAATTCTCCAAGATTGATTGTTCAATCTGGAAGTGGCTTTTGAATGTGCTTTGTCTTTTATTTTCAGGCAGATAGGCTCTGGGTGAGTGCTAAGGCTTTCTCTGTGTCTCTGGCACTTGTCAGGTGTCCTCGCCGTAGAGCAGGGGGGGGGGCACTTCTCTGTCACAGAGGGTGAAGAATCATGGCTTCCCTTATGGATTCTTTGAGGAAATGAGAGAGGATGGTAGTGTGGATGACTGGCTTTTTATTTATAAATATACTTCGGAGGTCTCATTTCGGGGTTTCTAGGCATTCACTCTTGCTCAGTATTTGCTTTTATCAGCTATATAAAGAACCTTCCTTGGAGCTCCCTTGAGAGGCCCACTAAGAAAATCCTGGTTTTGGAAGCATGGTTTCTTTTAAGATAAAACTGTCTTTGAAATTTACACAGGGAGAAAACTTAGAGCTTCCTGGAAGTTTCTGTTCTCCATCATTGGCATTTTTGGCCTGCAGTTCACTTTTGCTTGTCTTTGCTTTGGCTCTGGTGTTTCTGGGTAATGATGTAGGGACCTGCCTAACAGGCTGTTGGGTGGCATAGCGTAGACCATGACTGTGCATTTGTGTAGCTTTATTCCCCCAAAATCTCAGGAGGCAGCAAGTACTGTCGAGGATCATACGTGATGAGATTCTGATAGGATGGTTTCCTCTTGGCATGTTTTAGAGATTTGTTCTCAGAGCAGAATTAAAAGAGCCTAAAGATAGAACGATTATTGGATTGTGAAGTAGTTATAAGTCCTGTGGAAACCAGTTCACAATATCATAAGTTAACTTAAAACATGGTGATATTTTGCACATCTTTTAATACCAGGTATTTAAAGACTAGCTTATGCGATAGAGGAAGATTTGGTACTTCCCAACAGTTGTTGGTGTCTTTTGACAAGCCCCTGTCTTTGCGCTGGTCAAAGAGAACGAACGGTACAGATGTCCCACAGGAGAGCCACAGCTGTAGTGGTGTGTACCACGCGCATCACTGTGCATGGGTTAGAATAGCTTCTCCTTAAGGAAGATGAAACTTTTTTAAAAAGTAGGTTTGTTTTATAATACTAGAAAGGACTTAGCTTTTCAGTATTACAGGAATTTAGCAATTAATTTCTATTAGGGGACTTTCTCCACCCTGGTAATACACTCATTTTGCTTTTGAAAAACTTTTTGTCATCTAGGTTTTATGATTATTGTAAAGCAAAACCCTAACAAGGAGCACATGCCCACCATTATTGTATTGTAGTGTTAACTTTTCCATGGAAAGCAGTTGTGTAAGTCTTTAACTTTTGCACTAGAAATACCATTGTATTTTAATTTTTCAACAGCTTTGATCTTGACCTGATTTAGCTCTTTGTCACCATATTAATAAAAAGAGTACTTGAAGTGTGAAAGAAGAAACTTTTAAGTGGTTAAGCATTTCCCAGCAGAAAACCTCTAGTGATGTTAAGATCATTTTTGTCATAGATTGGTTAATGTCATAGCCTTTAAATTCTCCTTCATTTAAATATTACAAATATTGTTTGTTTTTTATTAAAATTATCTTTAAACATTTCAGATAATTTTATAGTGAGCTGATCTGTAAGTCAATGACAGCTTCAAAGTTCCAGAATTTGACTGTTAGTAGTTGTGTGCACTATGAACCGACCCTCTGGCTGATGGGCTAGGCATATACAGGAAAGAAACCGCACAGTCAGTATCCTTTACTTTCAAAGATGTAATAATTTATGTAGTTTTAAAATCCACCTGTGTCTAGAACTATTAAAATGACAGCGTAGCAATCGATAGTCATGGCATTGAAGTAGCAGGAAAATTATGTTAGTTTTAGTATTAATGAATCAATGTGGAGATGAGTTTGTATGTGTGAGGTTGAAGAGATTTTACCAGTCACAAGAGAAGCATAAAAATATAACTACAACATTTCCAGTTCAAATGCTTTGAAAGACAATCTTTTTAAAAATGGGGGGGACAGTGAAGTATCACTGAACCTAGGCCAGCCTCTTTGTAAATAAATGTACTCACTGCAACTGAGTATAAAAATGAATTCCAACAATACAGCTGGATATAAAAATGAATTTCAACAGTGCAACTAGGCATAAAAATGAATTTCAACTGGCACCGTTTATAGTTCAGACATCAGATTCTTAAAAATCCCTACCCTGTTTTTTTTTTTCTTTCTATTTTAGGAATTACTTGGATCTGTATGTATTTCTCTATGAAAATGTATGTGCTCATTTTTCTTCCTCCAGTGTTGATCATCATTTATATCATTCTGTTCTTTAAGAATATATTCAATGAAAGAGATGTAGATTAAAAGTTTGTCTCAAAGGGGGGAAAAAAAAACCATGACTTGGGTGTGACAAGTGTCTGCTCATTTCTGCTGAAGAAAGGGTATTGTGGCATCGAAAGGGAGGTTTGTCTGGAAGGGTGATAATGTTGATTCTTGTGATCATGACTGAGGGCCAGCAGCTGAGGCCTCAGGATAGATGCTGTATTCTAATCCATGAGAATCCCGTGGCTGGGAAGGCTTTGTGTCATGGTCATGTTTAGGAGTCTCTCCACACAAGCAGCATTTAGATGAAGATGAGTGGACTGGTTAATACTCTGAGAAATATCATATTTGTCTTTTTGCTTTTTCTACTTCCAGTTTTTTTGTTTTTGTTTTTTTTTTTTTTTTTGTTTTTGAGAAAAAAAATTTAAATGTAGCATAGGTTGGATCCAACAACCACATTAACTTTGGTAGGGTAGTCCTATGTCTTTCTTAAATTACAAATATTTAAGCAGTAATGCTCCCTAGAGAGAAAGTACTGGTTGGTAACTTAAATTTTTGCCTATCTTGCATCAAGCATTTGAGTTTTGAGTAAAAGCAATAGTGTGAGATGTGTTGTCCTTTTGTTTGTGATGTTAAGTGAGAAAATAAACACACAGCAGAAACTGTTGTAAGCCTTTCTGTGGATGCTTGGGCTGTCATTGTGTTCCCTCCCCCATGTAAGCCTTTTGCATTCATGAAACAATGCTTCCTTATTTAAATTACAGGTAAGTTGTAACCCATGGATTTGTGACTTTTAACTCACTTTGTAATTATGTCAGATGCTACTGGATGAGAGTAAGTGGTTATGAGACTAAAAACATGCTTAATTTTATAAGCAGCCACCCAGTTTTCATCAAGGGTAGAAGTGACTCATTTTTTAGGGTGTTTCTTGGTTTTGTTTATAGATTAAGACTAGATTTTTATAATTGTATAGCATCCCAGTACGCAGTTTTGTAGATACATTTTATTTGGAAATAAACTATGTAGAACAATCTGGATGAAGCTGCGGCAGCACTCATTGAAGTTGCCCTGCCTGTAAATGCAAGATAGAAAGGGTGAAAATGGAAGACATAGCATCCAGCTCAAAGGTTTTCATAGACAAAAACAAAATAGGTGACAATAGAGAAAAAAACTGTTAAGAAGAAGAATGTGAACAGTAGATAGATTATAGGTGTGCTATAGAATTTGATGTCAGTAGCTAGGATTGGCTCAGGTGTTTCCAGGTTCTTGGCATCTCACTCAGCATTCCCAGTTAGCTCTCTCTTTCCCTGAAACTGTAAAGAAGCCCAGAGCTTCTTTTTATAGGATCTAAAAATGAAAGGCCAGGCTGCTAAAGTGTATAGTTTGTTTGCTTCTCTCTTGATTGACAAGTTTAGATTACAGAAGCCTTTGCTCACTGTGCATGCTCCTTCCTTAATGCAGCTAATGCTTTTTAAAATATTTTTTAAGATTTATTTTTTACATTCCAAACCCAGTTCCCCCTACCGTCACTCCTCCCAATCCCTCCACTCCCCCCACCCCCATCTGCTCCTTGGAGAGGGTAAGGCCTCTCCTAGAATGTCTAAGTTATTCCATCATCTCATTGAGGCAGGAACAAGGCACTTCTCCACCCTCCACACCCCTGTGTCTAGGCTGAGCAAGGTATCTCTCCATATAGAATGGGCTCCACTAAGTCAGTTTGTGCATTAGAATTAGATCTTGGACCCACTGCTGGTGGCCTCATACATTGTCCCAGTCACACCATTGTCACCTATATTAAGGGAGTCTAGTTTGGTTTTATGCAGGTCCCCCATTTGTCAAACCTCAGTCAGTGATCTCTCACTAGCTCAGGTCAGCTGATTCTGTGGGTTTCCCCATCATTGTCTTGACTCCTTTGTTCATATTATCGCTCCTCCCTCACTTTGATTGTACTCCAGGAGCTTGGCCCATTGGTTAGTTGTGAATTTCTGCATTTGCTTCCATCTGTTCCTGGGAGAGGGTTCTAACTTCTCTGGGGTTGTGGATTGACAGAGGGCTGATCTTTAAAATATACAAAGAACTCAAGAAACTAGACATCAAACTACCAAATAATCCAATTAAAAATGGGGTACAGATCTAAACAGAATTTTCAACAAAACAATCTTAAATGGTATAAAGATCCTTAAGGAAATGCTCAATATCCTTAGTCATTAGGGAAATGCAAATCAAAATCACTCTGAGATTCCATCTTAAATCTATGAGAATGGCTAAGATCAAAAACACCAGTGACAGCTTATAGTGGAGAGGATGTGGAGAAAGGAACACTCCTCCATTGCCGGTGGGGGTGCAAACTTGTGTAGCCGCTATGAAAATCAGTATGGCAATTTCTCAGAGAATTAGCAATCTACCTACCTCAAGATCCTGCAATGCCACTTTTGGGCTCAACTGTGTTCATAGAAGCATTATTTGTGATAGTCAGATCTTGGAAACAACCTAGATGACCTTCAACAGAAGAATGAATATAGAAAATGTGATATATTTGTGCAATGGAATACTACTCATCAGTAAGAAATAATGACATCCTAAATTTGCAGGCAAATGGACAGAACTAGAAGAAACTATCCTGGGTGAGGTAACCCAGACTCAGAAAGACAAATACAGTATTATTCACTCATAAGTGGATATCAGACATAAAGCAAAAGGTGCCCAGTTTCTAGTATTAAGCATCTTGTTTTAGTCACTGTTGTATTGCTGTGAAGAGACACCATGAACAAGGCAACTTATAAAAGAAAGCATTTAATTGGGCACTTGTATACAGTTTCAGAAAGTTAGTCCATGTTTCTCATGGCAGCAGGCAGACATGGCACTGAACAGTGGGTGAGAACTTACATCTGATCCACAAGCACAAGAGAAAGAGAGCTAACTGGGAATGCTGAGGGTTTTTGAAACCTTAAAGCCCACCCCAAGTGGCATATCCCCTCCAGCAAGGACACCTCCTAGTCTTTCTCAAAGCACTTCCATGAGCTGCAGACTGAACATTCAAATATATGAACCTATGGGACCATTCTTCAAACAACCACATATACACATGCCCAATTATGTGTGGGTGTAATGGCAAAAATAGGTTATCCCTAAAATTTTACTTAGAGGACACAGCCCTATTGTTCATGCACACAAAACCAGTTTAGGTCAGAATACCACTCCCCTCATACCTGAATGACTGTAGGTGCAATTGAATAGACTCTAAGAGGTGGTTCAGAGGAGGAGGAACTTACTGCATTGTTTGGTGGGGTGTGTGTGTGCAGCTTGATGCAGGTGAGGATCCTAGGTCACTAAGGGATTACCATTGTTTATAGTGGTGTGTGTGTAGCCAGAACCAAGTGGAGTCCTAGGTTGCTAACTATTGCCTATGTTTGTGCTTTAGGACCAACACTTGTTAAAATGTTTTTGCTTTTTAAGCCCAAATGCTAATGAACTGATGATACTAAACAAGAATAAAAGAAAAGAATGTCAAGAATGAAGTATGGGACATTACTACAGATCCTACAAATGGTAAAATGAAAATATATGAAGAATAATTTTGTCAAAATTTGAAACTTAGATGAAATACAAAAAATTCTTTGAAACTGTAACTGGGGCTAGAGAGATGGCTCAAGTGGTTAGGAGCACTGGCTGCTCTTCCAGGGGACCTGAGTTCAATTCCCGGCAACCACACGGCAGCTCACAACTGTCCAATTCCAAGGGATCTGACACCTTTACACCAATGCCCATAAAATGAATTTAAATAATTTATTTAAAATATCTGTAACTTACCAAAACTGCAAAAAGGAAAATAATAGTCCTAGAACCATTAAGCACAGCTATCAACAAAATAATTTAGCTTTCTATTGAAAACTCTGCCTGATTGGTGAATTAAATAATACTTTAAAAATAATATTAACTAAACAAAAAACTGCTACAAATAATGTAGAGGCTGCAATTCATGAAGCTGCTGTAATGTTGATGCCCAAAGAACAGCACAAAAAGGATAACTAATGTGAAAATATGTTAGATGAAATAATCCAAAATTAAGTGCTAGCAAACAATTTTAAAATATACTAAATATTTCAATTAATGACATTTTAATATGTGACAATGGCCCAGTTCAGTGTATGCCTAGGACAAGGCCAGTATAATTTCCCATATTAGTATTTGTAAGAGTTGTTTGATGGTCTTGGGTACTGTAAAGTGCTGACAGAAGTCTAGCACCCTTTTGTGTTAAACAGACAGACAAACAACAACAAACACCTAGGAGGCTGGAGAGATGGCCCAACAGTTAATGCAGTAACTGTTCTTTCAGAGGGTACAGGTTTGATTCCCAGTGCCTACATGGTGGCTCACAACCACCCCAGTTCCAAGGAACTCAGCACCCCTCTGGCAATGTACACACATGGCACACAGACATACATGCAGAAAAATATCCGTCCACATAAAATAAGTACCTTTAAAAACATGAGGGCCAGTGAGATGGATGAGAGGCTCCCACCACTAAGCTTGATGATGGTCCCCAGATGCACATGGTGGAGGAGACCTGACAAGTTTCCCTGATCTCCACAGCTGCTATGGTGTCAGTATACCCACCAGCACACACAACACAACACAAAATATAATGACGTTTTAAGATCATTAAGCCAATATGTTCATAGTGGCTATCTTCATTTCTAAAACATACAAGTATGATAAGCCATTCAACAGGGACCAAATTAAAAGAATTGCCTCTATTATAATTTGTGTAGGTCAGCTGATGTCACAATAGTGTTGTGTAGCAATCAGCTGCAAACGAAACTCCTTGATGGCACACCTAACGTGTGCACTCATGCCAGTAGGCTAGCTAGTCAGCCATGATGGTGTTTGGATTCTTCTTTCCTTAAGTCAGTACCACCAGTGACATCATCCACAGTGGGCTAGGCCCTCCCACATCAACCATCAACCAAGAAAATGACCTACAGGCTCATCTCCAGGCCAATTCTATGGCAGCATTTTCTCAACTAAGATCTTTCTTCCCAGATCACCCTAACTTGTGTCCTGTAGACTGAAGTTAGCCAGCACAGTTCTAGGTAATTTTAGAGATCATTAGACATTTTTGAAGCTTGTCTAGCAGCTTTTTGGATGGCATATTAAAATGTAATTTTAAAAAATTTTGACTCCATTTGAGTCATTTCTGCATTTTTATTTTTCTTTTGTTCTATCTGTATGCTCAAGGAAGCAATTTCATGGGTCACCCATTCACTACAAAGTACATTTCCCTGCTGCATCCACACTAGGCTTGGCCGTGTGATTTGCTGTGCCCAGTGGCATATACTGTGAAAGGCTCAAATATGAGCAATTGGACTTGTTTGTGTTCCTGAAATCCCTGTAAGGATATGCTCAGGTTAGTTCAGTCAAAGCTTCCTTTTAAGTGGTCTTTTCTTCCTCCAGCTCAGTAGCCTGGCCAATAGCTGAGCTCTTCTGTTCAGATACAGATGATAGAAAATGTGGACTCCAGACATCTGCATGAACCAAGTTATTCTGTGCTTTTGATTCCAAAGATCTTCCCTTGCTATGGGTACAATTCTATATTCTAATTGAACCCAACATCTTAAATCCAGTTACAGACTCTAAAAGACAAGTTTTGGATGGAATTAGCAATACTTTA